TCGAAGTAAGGGAAGTGGCTGGAGCAAAGCTAATTCACAACAAGACGAGAAAAAGATTGAAAAAATTGTTTAGACCCATTTAACTGAACTAAAACAGATCTGGTGAGCAAATGTTTTAGAAAGTATGAAGACAGAGAGACTCCAGGAAATGTAGCTGATGCTGTGGTATCTTCCTCTTGCATCAGAGCGATGGTTGTATGCACACTTATGCAGAGAAAAAGCAGAGGAAGCAATACAAGACATACTCTTATAAACATCCCTAAGACCAGAACCAAAGTGCAAAAATAAAGTCAGGCCATCGCCACATTATCTTGATCTTAATGCCGGCTTTGTTTCTTTCAACTTGGTTGTGCTGTCAAAGAGGTTCTAAATAACAATGTCCTTGTTTCCAAGGCTTCTTTCAACATGGGACTGTCAGCAAGGAGGACTCCCATGCTGATAGGATGCATGAGGTTAAACCCAGAAGACGATAAAACTACGCTGTTCTAAATACCAAAAAATCAAAACGAAATTGTGAGAATAAAAGCTGGCATGAGGAGGATGGTGTGGCCTCTATTTTGGCCACAATCCCCTCGCTGTATGGTATTGCTCTGATTGCGTATTCACACCTGTGTCGTGGTGTCATGCTGAGGAGTGTAGATAGAATAACTGTACTAGATGAGTGATTATGCACGTCAATCAAAGCAAGGTTCTCATCGTCTTGAACTTCGCAACCTGGTCTGGTGCCTAGTACATTCCGAAGAACATGCTATTGTTGTTCAGCCTCAAGTATTGAGTGATAGCAGTCAAATACTTGGGGAAGACACGAGAGCGCAATACGAGGTATGTTTTTCAAAGTCCCCCTGACACCACGAAGAAGTAAGTTTCGAGAAGCAAAGTTGGTTGCTTATTTCTCAGTATCTTTTCGCCATAGCAACAACTTACTCATGGGACCAAGGCGACCCAGAAGAAATTAGCTCATACTGTGTACGCCATATTTGTTCGCATGCCTTCTACCGGAATAGGATTACATCCAGTTGATATGACAACAAGAGCAGAATACGTAATACTAGCTGTGCTCTTCAAGGCGTCCGTAGACACCCAGACGAGGTCAGATAAATTTCATATAAGTAGCCCCAAAGTCAGGGCAAGTGTACAGAATCTATTTTTGTGATAATGAGGCTAGGCATGTCTGACTTACCGTGGACAAATGACACAGATCCAGGCGCAGCTGAAGGGACTCCAGAACCAGCCAAATTTGTCGCAGTTGGCTCCGAAGTCACATGCTGAGCAGAAGATCCGGTCGCCAGAATGAGATGTACACATATCACCAAGCGAGTGAATATGCCAAACTCCATTGATCGTTTGACTAGTGAATTCGACATGTCAGTTTGGCCGGGTAGTTTAGGCGTGAAGAAGATCGGTCACTAGTCAAGAATGACAAGGCAAGGTAAAGTAACTAGGACTAGCGTATGATGCAAAATCAATCTTAAATCACACCAATTGTACCGAGGAATCGATTGAAGATGAAGCTAGGCAGCAAAGAAATCTGTATGTGAAAGGTTAGACAGCCTCCAGAAAAACATTCATTCAGCTAAGCCTGCAATCCCAGAATGAATAGGATGCAGACGGCAGACGCTTCAGTGTTGAGCATAGCAACTGGGTCTGGCGTCACGTTAGAACAAAGCTTAGAGACCGGCAACCGGACGGACCAGCTCCATGAAGTACAGGCGAATAGATGAGCCAAGTATCGAGTAATAGGCGAAGAACAGAGCTACACAGACGACAGGTGGACAAAACTGGGAAAAGAGAAAGACGATGCGTCTGGAAAAGAGAAGGACAAGACATTCAGCGTTTGAATAAGAGCATGTGGGGACAAGTTAGGCCTATATATAAGACTAGTAAACAAATTGAAACAACTTAGACGTGATCGAATTGACAATCAGGTTTAGCTGGAATATTTTAAAATTAAATAAAAAATTCGAGCCCCTCAAAAATATGAATTAACATTAAAACATCCTAAAGTGCAATAATGTGTAGGTCTAGAGCAAAAAATAAATTTACAAATGAAAATCTGAAATTGAACAAGCTATCAACCCCTGACAAAGGAGAAGACACTAGATAGGAAGCGTAACAAGATACCAGTGGAACAGCAGTAAAAGAAAAAAAAGGCTCAAATCAGCCTATGTGAGTAGACAAAACGATTCCATTGAAATTGGCTTAATCTTCACTTTCGTTTAATGTGAAAGTGCTCAGTTGTGATCGCAACTAATTACTAACACAGTCTTAAATGCATAAACTCACCCAGACGAATTGTCAATGTTACGAAATTAAAGCCATAACTTTGCATGGGTCATTAATTCTTGATGACCCTAAAACAGAGTTACAGTGTTGCGATTTTCAGCGCCAAAACTGGTAGTTCCCAACCTTGGCTCGCTCTCGTTAATACGCACCCAAGCATAAATACATTCTATATCTATCTATTTATATAGCTATATATTTAAGGTTTATTTTCAAAAAAAAACATATCTGAGTACACATATATATGCAAGCTTAAAATGGACCACTCTCAAGCCTATCCGTTGTCTGAATATGAAAAGTTTGTTAATAGTCGCAGGACAAAGGTTATAGAAATTAACAGATTATGGAACAAAATAAAAGAAAAAATTGGTTCAGCTAGTTGGGTAAAAACTACTTATGCTCAGTGGATAGGTGTAAGTAGAGGATAC